GGGGAGGCAGAGAACACAAAAAAGCCACAGAGTTTCAGCCTGAACTTCTACAAACGCCAAGAGAGTGCGACCCCATCGAGTGTTTATCCGACAAGCCCCCTCCCTCCCCCCTCCCCCCATGATCTTGACTGTGGTTTGTATTGGACGTGGTTATAAAGGGCTGGCAGAGCAGGCGCATTCTCCAGAAACAGAGAGTGGCTCTGCTCAGGCGGCGCAGGGGAGGGTGGCCCGCTGTTTGTGCTCTCTCTGGCGCTGGGACAGGGTTGTAATTCCACACTGCTTCAATAGGCCTTCCGTGCCCTCGCACTCTGTCCGGAGTGGCTCAGGTGAAAGGGAAGGGGGCCAGCCGGCAGAGAAACGTTCTTTCAGCTGACTGAAGGGGCATTTGAAACACAAGGGCACTTCTTTGGACCAAGGGAGGTGGGAGTGTGGAACAAGCCGTGTTGTTGCAGCTAGATACCCTGGCTTCTTTCAAGAAACGGTTGGGTGAGAGCCTAAGATCAATGGGCTACTAACTGCAGTACCAAACGAGCCAGAAGGGGCCGCAGTCCTCCTCTCATTTGTGGCCAGGCATACAGTCTTCTGAAAGGAAAGCGGCTGGGTCAGGAATGACAGCTAAAGGTCATTAAAGCGACCCTGCACTGCTCCTGCCTCAGAAGTCAGCTCTCCGCAGCCGCCTGAACTCCAGTCCCGCTGAGCGCCGTCGCAGAGCAGTTACGAGTTGTGCAACAGCGAAGGCTGCTCTTGTTATTTTTGAACAGCTTTGTGTACCAGATTATGTTTCCCTTAGAATTATGGACACTTTCTCTTGCTTATACTGGGTCCAAAGCCCTTCCTCTGCACTGTACAGTAGAACAAAAACAAGAAATATTTTTGTCGTATATTAATAAAAACAAGGTTCAGCGGAGGGGGAGATGAAATCATTCCTCGTGGCAGGGTGCAGAGCCGGGTCAGTCAAGCTCAATTGCTTCTGGAACGCGATCCCAGCGGAATCCATCATGGCACTGGAATCAAAGCCAGGCAGATGGATGACAGCTCCCCTCTTTGGTGAGCCAGACCCTTGGCCAATACGCGTCTTTTCTATTAAGTAATAATGGAACACAGGGATACACAGACGGAAAATAATGGTAACCCACCCCATGCTTGAATCATGGCATGGTGCTTTGGTTTCATTTCCCATTGAGGAAAGGCCCCAGCTTCCTCGTTGCTTGTGGTCACCAGTATCCAGTGCTCTGCTGGCACTGGTGTATATCATCCTGATGTAGCCCTGTCTGCACTGATCACTGTCAGGGGCTGTACAGCTGCTGAGCTGGAAGCCTGCGCTTTGGCAGCCCTGCCAAACTGATGGGATAAATTACTGTCACTTGGATACATAGCCTCTGCAGCAGTGCCATCACTGATAACTGATCTTCATGGTGGAACGACACTGTACATCCAGGGTTCATTTTACAAGACGATGTAAGCTCAGAAAAATGTGTGGGGAAATCACACTCCTGAAAGATACTAATTTTAAAATGTAATGACATTACTTTCTTACTGTACAGTATAGTCCCAGATGGGAAATTGGCTTTGCAGGCAGGCAAAACACACAACACAATACACAGTACATTGAAAATGAGCCCATTAACAAATAAGAGACATGCATGTATGTTGAGAAAGAAAATGTACATAAATAAAGTAAAATATACAGTCAACTGTCCAAATGGAGCAGGTTAAAAGCTGTGAGAATAAAAGATGACTTAATTCTATTGCCCTTGAATTTAGGTAGCCTAAGTCTGCACACTGTTGGAAGGAGCTCAGATTCACTGTGCAGTGGGTGGTCATGACAGTCAATGGTTATATTGGCCGTCTGCATTATTAGTTTGACATAAATGTGTGAAAGCTGTAGCTGCTGTGCACCAGTAATTTTGCTGACTACCTTCACAGTCCTGCTCAGCTTTCATTGTATGTATTAAGTATTTGTATTGTGTGTTTTAAGGTGTCCAAACCATTAACCTCTACAGTACTTATTCCTATGTATAATACCTAATATACAGTATATATATATAGTACTAAGCTTCGAGTGAGTTCCTGTATCAGCATTCAGGCTGCTGTACATACAGTATATACATTTCTGTAAAATACAGGTTTGACATCATAAAAAAAGTGTAAGGCACAGTTATGAAATCATTAGAAGATTATGAGTTCATACTTCCACATGTGGCATGCTGTTTGGTCTTTCTGTATGTTTGGCAGGAAGATCCTTTCATTTCATGTAGAGATACAGTACAGTATGTGGTTCCAAAACCTTGCTGGGCTTTATGTGTGTTTGAGAAAGTGAAAGCAGGATTAATGTGGGCCACATTGCTGACTCAGGCTGATCTTGCCCTGTGTGTCAAAAGGCAGGTTCTGCACAGCTGGGACAGCTCACTGACATCCACCAGTGGCTATTTTAAGAAGTAGTGCAATACTTTACATATTGTAGTACAGTAACTGTACACAAACTGCATATGACACAGGAACTGATACTCGTACAGTACTTTTAAAAATTATTTTCCACACTGTCTTGTTAAGTTTAAAAAGTAATTTGTTGCACCAGTAACTTGTGACTGTAATGCTGCATGCACAACTTTCTCCAATATTGAATGTTGGCACTGCTGGTCTTCCTGGGTGTCTAACATCAACATCCCACACAAACTACGGAATAACAATGCCCCAAATATGACAGATAGTGTATCTCTACAAGGTTTGTTTTTTTTTTCCTTAACTCAACAAAGCAAACATAACTCAGTCTGCTGTTACACAAATATACAATCAAGTAATTAAGTGGGATGAAGTCAGTGTCGGGTTATTGTAGACAAATTCACAGCTTTGTTGTGAACAAGGTTGTTCAGATTTCTTAGGGAAGGGTTTATTTAAGGTCAGAGGAGGTGAGACTTTATTCTGCATTGTGGGTATCCTGCAGACTGTGTGGTAAAAGCAGTAGGCAGTGAATTTTTCCCATACTGGGGGGTTGTCTTCAAGTTTCTTTCTGTCTAGTGTATGAAGATTTTGGGATCATACTGCGCAAGCACAACTCTTCCCTACTTCCCAAATATGGAACAAAAACAGTTCTCTGATCTGACAGTGGTAGGGCACCCACAAAAGACACTCACTCAGGTGTGGCACTGTAGGTCATGAATTATACAGAAGACTACAAGAAACATTAATAACATAGTTTATGTGAGAAAAAGACTACAGGCTTTGCATAGTGGAAGAGTGGTGAGGATTGCTAATGCAGTGCTGGGACCCGGGGTTAAATTCCTGGGGTTAAATTCCTGGGGTGCTATCTGCATGGAGTTTGTAAGTTCTCTGCTTTTTTGTGTGGGTTCCCTCCAGGTGCTCTGGTTTCCTCCCAGAGTGCTTAGACATACTGTACTGGTGGATTAATTGACTTCTGGGGTAGTTGGCCCTGGTGTGAGTGCATGAGTGTGGGTGATTTTGTCTGTGTGTCTGCCCCACGATGGACATGGCGTCCCATCAGGTATGTACAGTACTGTATCCTGCCTCATGCCCATTGCTCCAGCTCCCCTGTGACCCTGTAGTGGATAAAGCAGTAAGAAGACAGATAGATGGAAGAAGGCTATAGGTGCTCCCAGACTTGCTGAAGGATTGCTTTCAGCGTATTGCGAACTTGGAGCACTGTTCAGTACTTTCAATAATAAAACTAACTGAAGCAAAGAGCATTGCAAACAATTGTGAAATAGAAGATAGACCTTCACGTACCTTAGTTCCTAGTGCTGTCTTGGTTTTCAGCCATGTGTTGAAGGGTAATATGGCAAAACAACTGCTGAAAAGATTCTACAAAGTGTACACGGAAGAGAAGATATACACAAGAGGCGAAACAGGGCAAGAGTGAGGCCGCACACAACTTGAAACCGGGGTTGAAAGAGAGCCGCAGTGGGATTATAGAAAGCCTGGCCTTTGCCCAATTAATGATGTTGAAACCTAATCCAATTAGATGGACAGTCATAACTCAACTCAAACTAAGACGTCTGCATACAGTCTTCTGGACTTGTTTCTATAAAGCAAGTGTTCTATGATCCTGCAAAAATAGTCCCTTTGAAAAGGCTTTTATACTTAATAGAAACAAAATCCTGCACCCATCTTTACTTGTCTCACAAGAACATTTTATCAGGATAGAAAATAACATTTTATTAATAACACTAGGCCAACAACGAATGGGCCAATTTATAAAAGGAGGGTCCATTTTTTTACATAAACACAGATTTTATGTCTATATAAAACATTTCTTGAGAGAAGTAAAAATGTGCCAGGGATTACTTTTTTTAAGAGCTCCCTGCAATAATACTTGCACTTTCAAGAATGTGGCTTTTGAGAACTAGAACTCTTGAGGGTTGCTGCTTTGTGACGTTAACCGGAAGAAACGGCTCTCACAGAAGGAAGAACTTTCATTCCTGATACTTTTGTAGAGAAGATTTACTCTTTATTTCTGCTTCCCTGTCCCCCTCTAGACTGAGGCAAGAGGCAACCAATTTGTTTCAGTGTCCGATGTTCCCACTCCTGTTAAGAGGAAGCAAGAAGCGACAATGCAGTTTAGCAAAGAGATTTAATTTGTTACGAGAACAACTATTTTCCTGAGAATATTTAGGAAAACACACACACAAAGTGTATCCCCCCTGGAGCTGTAAATCCAAGTGGTTTTCAGGACGTTTTACAGTCTGAGTACAACTCTAGCCACTCTCTGTTATGAGCATGAATGGGTGTTCAGAAGTGATCGTTGCATATGAATTAGAACTATACAATATATTTCCACACATGGCACAATAGCTGTTTCTGATTAGGTATTCCTGTCCATCCCCCCCTTCATTTATTCCTGAAATGTCACTGGAATGCATAATACAGTATACTGGACTCTATGGGTTATGTACTGGAATATATGAGCTGGCTATATTAAGAATGCCCTCAGGTCAAGTCAGGAACCAGCCCCGACACTTGTGACATCCAGCTCTCCTCTGCAGGTTTGTGACGCGCTTCATCGAGCTGGACGGGCTGACCTGCCTGCTGAACTTCCTGAAGAGCATGGACTACGAGACCTCCGAGAGCCGCATCCACACCTCCATCATCGGCTGCATCAAGGCCCTGATGAACAACTCGCAAGGCCGGGCCCACGTGCTGGCCCACCCCCAGAGCATCAGCATCATCTCCCAGAGCCTGCGGCTGGACAACATCAAGACCAAGGTGGCGGTGCTGGAGATCTTGGGCGCCGTGTGCCTGGTGCCGGGGGGACACAAGAAGGTGCTGCAAGCCATGATCCATTACCAGAAGTACGCCGCTGAGAGGACACGCTTCCAGGTAGGACTGCCACCAGCATCTTACTGTCCCCCCCTTTCACTTACACAGCCTCATTGAGGGGTTTTTATATCCAGAAGATCTGGCAACTCAAGAAACCTAGTTACTGGCTTCAACCACATGGCTGAGTAGCTTGTTCCACACTCCAGCAACCCTTTGTGTAAAGTAGTGCATCTTTTCCCGACTGGAGGATCTCATCCAGCCATTTCTTTACAGAAACCAGGGTATCAGTTTCAACAATATGGCTGAGTAGCTTGTGCCATGCTCCCACAACCCTTTGGGTAAAGAAGTGCCTCCTTTTCACAGATTAAGATACACTGTGCACCTCCAGGTAGTTTCCACTTGCACCCTCTGGGTTGGCTGTTCATTTTAAAGAAGTTTGTGTTGATTTTGTTGAGACCCACATGGCTCATGCTTGCATCATCACAAAAACAGCAATTTTTTCCAAGAAAAAACAAATTAGTATATTAGGAACATGGCATTTCATCAATAGTGACAGGTTTATTTTGGGAATATAACTTCCTAACTCTTTATGGCATCTTTTCTGGCGATGGCAAATCCCATATAAAAGCAGGTCACTATCACAGACAGCAGGCAGGATGCAATCCTGAGTCAGCAAAGCCTGCAGCAGCCTACTCAGTGGCTGACTGAACAAACTGGACATGGGCTGTCCTGTGTTGGTCAGCTGGAGAACCGCAACTGAGCAGCTGTGTCAGGTTAAATGAGTCAGACTTTCATCATCAGGCTTTTTCTAAAAGAAGTCTAAATTGATTTCGTTGACACATTACCAGATACCCTCACATCTCTGGCCTGTGAGCCAGTGAGCTAAGTCGATGAGCCAGGCGTTTTTGTTATTGTGCAGACTGGGCTTCTATCAAAGGACATAATGCACTCAAACATGTGAGCTCAAGATTTAGGCCATGATGATGGCAAACAGTTCACTGCACAGGAAATAGGTTAGGTGGGCATTCTACTCCAAATCTGCCCAAGGTGAAGATCAGATCCTTAGTCTCATTTCTCTTCTTAGTCATATCAGCCTCATGCAACCTCCATTTTAATGGGGTTATAATCCCTTATATTAAAATTACTAAATACTGTAGAAAACCTGCAGCAATGGAAATTCATTGGTGTGGTACGGTAGATCAATGAGGAGATGCAGCTCACCCTTATAACCAAGAAAGCTTTATCAGGCTACAAGGATGGACTAAAATTAGAAGATGGGTCCTTTGGAATATTCTGTTGCACTAAAGGGAAGCTGATCTTTCTGTCTGTAGACGCTACTAAATGAGCTGGACAGGAGCACAGGGCGTTACAGGGACGAGGTCAATCTGAAAACAGCCATCATGTCCTTCATCAATGCTGTGCTGAATGCTGGGGCTGGGGAGGTGAGTACAGCCTGCTGCTCCACATCTTAACAGAAAGACAGACAGACTCTCATGATACTCCCAGACGCACTCCTCCAGCTGAACACACATTTACAGACAGACAGACTCTCATGACACTCCCAGACAAACTCCTCCAGCTGAACACACATTTACAGACAGACAG